AACTCGCGGCGATCGGAAGAAAGGTGCCGGGTTTTTTGCACGACCGGCTTTGCTGCGGGATCGACGGCTAGCTTGTGACAAATTACCGATCGATCGATCCCGGGCATGTCTTCGGGCCCCCATGCAAAGATATCGGCATACTCCCGGAGTATGGCCAAGATTTCCGCTCGGAGCTCGGGGGTGAGGGCCCGACCAATCTTAATCTTCCTATCCGGTCGGTCCTCGGATAGGGGAACTTCTTCTATCTCCTCGGAAGGCTCAGGCTGCTCCTTCCGATCCTTAGCCTCCTCTTTGGCTATAGTATTCACCCGGGAAGACTGACCGGAGTCACGTCTATTGACCGCTCGGGTGTAACACTTCCGGGCGGATTGGACGTCGCCGCGGACTACGCCGACCCCGTTGGGGGTGGGGAATTTCATGCACAAGTGGGGCATAGAAATTATCCCACCGATCTTCATAATGGCGGGTCGCCCCAAGATGATGTTGTGGACGCAATGGAGGTTGACCACAACAAACTCTAGCTCCGTCTTGATCGACTTCGGGGATGTGCCGATCTCAACCGGGAGCGTTATTTTTCCCTCGGGGTACACAAGAGCCCCGGTAAAACCCGACAGTGGAACACCGACCGGAGTCAGCTCCTTCCTGTCAAGTCCGAGTTTCTCGAAAACGTCCAAATAAAGGACGTTTACACTGCTGCCAGTGTCTACCATAACCCTCCGGATGTCCGTCCCTTTGACATCAATCATGACCACGAGCGCCTCCATACCGTGGTCACCGCTGCTGGGTTGATCTTCGAGGGTGAAGGTTATGGGCTCCATCTTCTGCCTCTTCCCGGTCTCCCGGGAATCCACTATGGCGACCGGGCAATTACTCCGCGGTCGGGAAGCGTCTTCCAATCCACCGAAAATGACGTGGATGGTCGGCTTTCCTGCTGGTCGGCTGATAGACGGAGGGTCAGGGTCCCGTCGGTCATCGCGACAATCATCTCTTCGATCGTCTCTTCGGTCCTAACCTGACCGATCGGAGCGTCCTTCACGATCAGAACGATCGGAACGATGATGGGAACGCCGGTGATCTCTCCGATCGGTGTTCCTCTTGGGGTCTTCTCTCCTCCCCACACACTTGTCTAACTTCCCAAGATTGAGCAAGTCCTCCAACAATTGGCGCAAGTGGGTACACTCTTCCGTGTCATGCCCGGCACATCGATGGTAAGCGCAATGCTTACTCTTGTCAGGGCCATCTCGATCGGGATGGGGAAGCTTGATGAGATTGCAGGACTGGGCGTACTGCATGGCCTCCGTTGCGGATCGGTTTAGGGCCGTAAACTCACCAGGCCTGGTGCGGGATCGGGGATGGTCATCGCCCGATCGGTGTTCCGCCCGGCCGGCCGGTTTACGGGACGAAGACCCGACCTCCTGCGAGCGCTTTACGGCATTCGCTTCACCGGCGTTGGCATAATCTGTGACCCTTCGAAGGGCCTCCTCATACGTGGCCGGGGGGTGTAGAATGAAGTCCTGGTACAGATAACCCGCCCGGAGAGAGATGTGAAGCATATGGGTGGCGGTCGCATCATCCATGGGCTCGACCTCCCCGACCGCCGCCTTCCATTTGACGAGGAAGTCGGTCAAGCTCTCCCCTTCAAGCTGCTTGGCCTTCTCCAGATACATATAGGGCTTCCTCACCACCTTGGAAGTGACGAACTTCCTCACAAACTTGATCGCCAAGGTGTCAAACTTGTCGATCGAGCCCGGCTGCAAGGTTCGGAACCATTCCGCCGCTCGACCGGTAAGCGTGGAATAAAAAGCCCTACACATTACGGCGTCTGATACGCCCTTCAGCATCATATTGCTGTAGAAGTCATTAACATGGACCTCGGGGTCCGTCCGACCATCATAACTTTTCTCTCCAGAGACCTTTAAATCAAGCGGGTAAGGCTGAGCCATCACCGCCGCTGTAAAAGGCGTCTGGTGCAAGGTCGATTGGTCGACCGGAGGTGTTGCAGGGTGCGCGTTCCTGAATTGCGCAAACTCCGCCTGGAGGTTGTAGAGCAATCCTCGGGTCTCGTTGAGCTCGGCGGCTTGGGCGGCTTGAGCTGCGTCCCGAGCGCGTCGTCGTCGATGAGATCTCGACCCACTATGCCCGGACGAAGCCTCCTGGCTGGCCTCCTGCATCTGTACGTCTTCTTGTTGGCGGTTCGGGTCTTGGGGCCCCAAACGCTGACGCATCTCCGGTCGAAGACGATCAAAAGCTGTCGCTTGGGCAACTTCTTCGGGATCCTCCGCTTGGGCGGGAACCTCAGCCGCTTGCTGGGCCTGCCACGGTGCCTCCATCGCATCAGCACCCCCCGACCCCAACCGCGAACGAGCCAAGCGTCGAGCTCGGGAAGCGGACTGATGCTGCGGCTCTACCAGTGCGGCCGGGTAAACTGGAGGGGCGGCGGCTGGAGCCGTGTACGCAGGCGTATATGGTGAATATCCAACCGGGGGAGTGTAGTACATCGGTTGGCCAGGCCAGTACCCGTACGGCGGAGGTGGGACCGGGTATGGATATTGGCCGGGATACATCATCGGCTGTTGTGGATATGGCTGACCGGGTGTTGGGTATCCCGGTTGAATGTAGTTCACCGGCTGTTGGGCAGCCGGGTATGTGTTGGATGGATGTGGTGGTGAGAGATTAAGATTCAAGTCCACCGTCTGACCTTGTTGTTGGGTGGCGTGGTGATCGGATGAGCTCGCTGCATCCACCTGGTCGTCAGCGAAATTGTTGTATGCCCACGGATACATCATTGGAAAAGCGACCGAGTGCTCGTCAAGATGTTGCTTTCTTGCACGGATCCCCACGGACGGCGCCAAAATGATACTGCTAATTCTACGTAAGCAATAATTAAGCAAGTAAATATCTTTATTGATCGCGGTAAAGGCCCTAAGTACAATCTACTTGGTTGCTCTGAGTGCCGACTGACTGCGGTCGGGATTCTCTAGTAACAACCTATCGATCATCCAAAAGTCCTTTACACTGTAGCCACTGTGGGTATTTATAGCCGCTGCGTCGGAGACACAAATCCGGTCGTTCGACATGCTCTCCACGTAGCCACCACGTGTCATCCTCCCGGGTGCCCTGTTTGTCATTGCAAGGAGCCGCCACGTGTCCTTTGTTAGCTCTCTCGCCAAAGGGCTACCGCTTGGTGGTCGACACTTCCGCTCGGGCAACTCCCGGTCGGATCCCGACCGGGTTCTTCATAAAAAACCCGACCTGTTACCTGCAAAAACAAGAAGACAGAAACAAAGGCACACCACTCGGGGTAAAGCTATGTTGGTCGGGATATTTCCTACCAGTAGTATATGTTCATTGCTACTTTCACAACCTACTAAAGCACTGGGGTGTAGTATCTGTTCATTGCTACTTTTTCAACCTACTAAAACACAAAGAGTCAATACCGCTCAAATCCATTCTCTCCCATTTGGGAGAGCCATTTCATGTCACTAAACCACAAGGTCATTGACACGTTTTTTGAATTGTTTAATCGTTATTTATACTAAAATACATATTTTAGGTGTGGATTCCACCAGAGGTCCCTTATCTTAAGTGACAATTTCAAATTTAGTCACAGACTATCGTTTTTGTCATTTAACATCCCAGACTATTATTTTTTGGACACTTTTAGTCATTTTAATGACTTTTTCTATTTTTAGTAAGGGCATTTTTGTCTCTTCATATTTTTCTTTTGTAATTTTTTCGATTTCAATCAATTTAATTGCTTTATGACTTTATTAAAAACATGTTGAAAAATATGGTTACTAAAAAGTAGATGTTACCTAAAGTTCTAAACCGGTTGAAACTGGAAAAATAACAAAAGAAAAATATGAAAAAATAAAAATGTCCTTACTAAAAATATGAAAAATCATGAGAAGGACTAAAAATGTCCAAAAATAATAGTCTGGGATGTTAAATGGCAAAAAAGATAGTTTGGGACTAAATTTTGAATTGTCACCAAAGACAAGGGACCTCTGGTGGAATTAACTCCATATTTTAGCTAAAGATGTTTATACATTTGATCTATTTTAATATTAAGTTTACTCAAGAAAAAATATATACAGGATATTTAGGGTGTGTTTGGTTCATGGGTTTACACACCAGGAATGGGAATCAAAATCATAGTTAGTGTTTGGTTGACAACTTTTTAAAACACAACTATGAGAGTTGATTACCCTTTTAATTAAAAACATCATTGCCTAATTAAAAACTGGTATCATTCCATCTTATTGGTAATCTGATTTTAAAGTTTGTATTAGTGCTTTTACTTTTTAGATATTTGTTTTAATTTTTTTGTTCTATTGGTGCTTTGGACTGTTATTATATTAGGATCAATTGTCTTAATTTTTTTTATTTTTGTATTTTAAAACCTTTATTTCCATTATAGGGTCATACATAACCAAACATCAATATAGGTAATCGTTCTAATTTGACCCTACTACCAAACATGCAAAATACTTTCACCAAAACTCATTACCATTACCAAGTATTTGATTCTCATTCTGATTTTGATTCTCTTGTACGAACCAAACACACCCTTAGTCTTTCAAATGTATAATTTATAGTTGATATACTATAAGTTAAGTTATTTTAATTTTACTGGTGGCTTGTGGTCCACTGGTATCGGATTACTCCCCTATGTGGGAGGTCTAGGTTTCGAGCCTTAGTGTAGGCGTAGTTTTTAATAGAATAACGATTTTTGTCAAAAAGAGTCCTTTATGCAAATTCTAAAGATGGTTGTCTATTTCTCACAATTTTTGGATAATGCATCTTCTTTTACTTTCAAGTCTTCTTTCATTAATACTTCTTTTGTAAAACACACATTCTGTAGCACACATTAAAGTTAATTTTACACTATTATAAGTAGGCTTATGGTAGCAATCAGCAATGTGGCACAAACATCAGATCACTTCCTAGCTAGTAGCTACTATCTCCCTTTCAATTCGCACACCACTTTGATATAATTAATGGCATTTCCAACTCTCTATTTGATTTCCACCAAGTTTGTCATTTGTTTGTGTTTCCTTAACTTAACGATTCCAGGATTGGTGTTGGTTTCGTGTACCTCTAGGTTATTAGGTAATGAAACCGACAAAGCTTCACTTCTTGAATTCAAGAAAATGATCAAAGATGATCCATTTGGTGTCATGGCCTCATGGAACGAAACCATCCATTTTTGTGAATGGTTTGGTGTCACTTGCTTTCGCGGCCACCAGAGAGTCACATCCATAAACCTCGAGTCTCTTAAGCTTGTGGGATCAATGCCTTCACACATTGGAAACATGAGCTTTCTCAGGGTTCTGGCCCTCCAAAACAACAGTTTCTCAGGTGAAATCCCGCCAGAGATAAAAAATTTGCATAGGATGCAAAGTTTGTATTTGAACAATAACTCTTTCAGTGGAGTTATACCATCAAATATTTCTGCTTGCAAAAACTTGAATGAGGTAAATTTCGCATACAACAATCTCACAGGAAACATTCCATCAGAGCTTGGCACCTTAACATCTCTTCAAAGTATTCATTTTTTTCACAACCTTTTTGGTAAAATCCCTCCTTCTCTTGGAAATCTTTCGTTGCTTTATGACATATTTTTCTCCTTCAACAACTTGTCAGGAGAAATACCCGACTCTCTATGTAAATTACCAAGACTAGAATACTTTGGGTTTGCTGAAAATAATTTAATTGGCACTATACCCCGGTCTCTATTCAACCATTCATCCATGTTGGTTATTGAAGTGGCTGGAAATCAATTAGGGGGGACTTTGCACCCTAACCTTTTTGTCACACTTCCCAACCTCTTCTTTTTTTCTATTTCTTGGAACAATTTCATTGGAAGTATTCCTGTCACATTATCAAATGCAACAAACATGCAGATGTTCGGTGTTAGTGTAAACAGTCTGACAGGAAAAGTTCCTAGTCTTGGAAAGTTGCAAAAATTATGGGGCTTCTTAGCTGGAGCTAATAATCTTGGGGAAGGGAATGTTTTTGACTTGAACTTCCTTTCTTCATTGACCAATGCGACCACCTTAGAGTGGTTGGACCTTAGTGAGAATAATTTTGGAGATTTTTTGCCTACATCAATCACCAATCTTTCAAGAAACCTTAGATATCTTTCCATTCACACCAATCAGGTTTCTGGAAACATCCCAAGGGGGATTTCTAATCTCATCAGCTTGCAAACATTAGGATTGTATCACAACAAAATTAGCGGAGAAATTCCGCATGAGATTGGGTTTCTTAGTAATCTAAGAATATTGTTTTTACATGGAAACAATATTTTTGGACAAATTCCATCTTCATTAGGAAATCTTACACTTCTATTAAAGCTTGGTATTCATAAAAACTACCTCCATGATACTATTCCTGCAAGTCTCGGAAAATGCCAAAGCCTAGAGTTGTTAGATCTTTCTCGCAACAACCTTAGTGGACACATCCCTAAGGAAGTTCTTCAACTCTCATCCTTATCATTGCTTTTGGATCTCTCTCACAATCACTTCATAGGTTCCATTCCAAAGGAAGTTGGATATTTGATAAATCTAGGCTACTTGGATTTGTCCTATAATTCATTGTCAGGCCCAATTCCATCAGAGCTTGGTAGTTGTGTTCACTTGGAAACACTGAATCTTACAAATAACAATCTTGAAGGTCTAATTCCATCAACTTTGGCAAATCTGAGGGGTATGCAGTTCTTGCAACTTTCTCACAACCATTTGACAGGTCAAATCCCAACTTTCTTGAAAGAATTCAAATTTTTACAGAATTTGAATCTTTCATATAATGATTTTGAAGGACCAATGCCAACCACAGGAATCTTCAACAACACAAGCTCTGTTTCAGTTGCAGCAAATAAAAAGCTCTGTGGGGGCATACCTGAGCTGAACCTCCCTGAATGCAACACCACAAAGTCCAAAAAGAAGAATTCAAAAGGTTATTTGAAAATAGTAATTCCTCTGATTCTTGGGATTGTTGGGCTAACTGTTGCAGTGTTTATTCTTTGCCTTAGATGGTTAAGAGGACAAAGTAAAGAACCCTTTCCTAATTTGTTAGAAAACCCAATCTTAAGAGTGTCATACCAGTCCCTCCTCAAGTCCACTAATGGGTTCTCTGAAGAAAATTTACTTGGAGTTGGTGGTTTTGGAGCTGTATATAGAGGATGTTTTGATCATGATGGAACTACTTTTGCAGTCAAGGTAATTGATCTTTTGCGTCATGGATCTTCTAGAAGTTTTGTAGCAGAGTGTGAGATATTGAAAAACACTAGACACCGTAATCTTGTCAAGGTGTTAACTGCTTGCTCGGGGTTTGATTTTCAAGGGAATGATTTCAAGGCTATAGTTTACGAATACATGGATAATGGGAACCTTGAGAACTGGTTGCATTTTAGTCACCAAGAGAATTCCCAAATTGAAGACAATAGGAGGTTAAGTTTTGTTGAAAGGTTAAACATTCTTATTGATGTGGCATGTGCTTTGGATTATCTTCATAATGATTGTGAACCTGCAATAATCCATTGCGATCTCAAGCCGAGTAATGTTCTTCTGGATACAAACATGAGTGCACATGTAAGTGATTTTGGAGTGGCAAGATTTGTACAACAAAGGATTCAAAGCTCTTCATCAGACAACCATAGTTCTATAGGAGTACAAGGAACTGTTGGATATGCACCTCCGGGTAAGTTTTATAATTCACACTCAATCCAATCTTCTTTCTACTTTCAATTGATGGAATTTACTCTTGTAATCTACATTTGGATAGTCACCTTTTTTTCTTTTTTCTTTTTGGAGTAGAATATGGTATGGGAAGCAGGCCATCAAAAGCAGGTGATGTATATAGCTTTGGCATACTAATCTTGGAAATGCTCACTGGGAAGAGACCTACATATGAATTGTTCCAAGATGGCTTAAACCTTCATAGCTATGCTAAGGCTGCTTTAGCAGACAGAGGAGTGGAGATTGCTGATCCCAAACTTCTCCAAGAAAGTGATGAACAGATACGAATGAGGAAGAAAGGGAAATCCTGCGAGGAGAACGATAAATTTCATGTGTGCTTAGTTTGTGTGATCAAAGTTGGGGTTGCTTGTTCTGTGGAATTCCCAGCAGACAGAATGAAGATTCGTGATGTTGTTGGTGAATTAAATAAAGCAAGAAACACCTTGTTGATGTAATCTGTGATGAACTGAAGATTAATCTGGCCTGGTATTACAAGCTTAGGAGTTTGTTTCATTATTTTTTCTTTTCTGTCATTACAATCTCTGTTTGGTGTATTTGCAGAATTACTCTGGAGTTTGTTTTTAATGCTATTTCTCTATTTCCTTCTCAATTTCTTCTCCTTTTCTGCTTTGCTTCTGCAAATTTGTTGCAGCTTTTACATAATAAGCTTATTCTCTTAGCTTCAGTACTAGGAAATGATTTATGAATCACCAAAAACATCTCAATTCAGTAATGTACGATTTGAGAAATTAGTCTGAACAAAATTGATATGTAGAGTTACTCGTTATACAAAATAAGGCTGGTGCACAAGCAAGGGATAAAAAAAATATAGCACTACCATCTCAAATCGGTGTAAATATATATTTGTTGGGCGGAAACCGATAAAAGACCACGTTTAACACTCAATGACTGGGAATTGTTGGGCAGGGTGAATAAAGAATAAAAAGATTAAATTCAGTACTCAATATTTTAAACAATGTGATAACAGTCCATAAACAAGGATATAAAATTGCTCCTTTACTACAAGCTATAATTTTTAACATAAGTGTCAAGCACTTATCGTAGCAATATTGCATGCGTCTTTTCAGAACATTTCACTGACAGTTAGATGATAGATGCATGTGGTGGACTAAAGATTTGTTTGTTTTTATGCAATTCATCTCAATTATGTGGCAGAGATCAAAAAAGTATATGGATTCAAGTCGGCCAAGTTCACAACAACAATCTTCTTCAACAAAAATATTTTATATTCTCATATAGAAATATATCTTTTAGCTTTGTTTAGAATTTAATAAATACGTAGCGTACTATGTTCAAATATTATTATTCAATACTATTGAATGTTATTATTTAACAAATATTAATTACAATTGATTTTGTTTCAAATTAATTAAATGTGCATATATCAAAAAAAAAAAATTAAATGTGCATATATAGTTTATTTGTGATTACAATGCGCAATTTGAATATAAAGTTTTTTTAAAAAAATATAATTAAATGATACTTTTAAAAAAATGTAATAATTTAATTATAAAATAAAATTATATTTCAGCGACACGGCTTTAAAATCGCAACAAATTATTTAGTGACACTTAATAACTACCATTAATATTTTAAAAATAAATTTAAAACAATTTAGTGACATATAGCAGCGGTTATAAAACCACCTCTAAAAGTAAAAGTAAAGTACCTCATTGTTAGTGGCGGTTACGAAACTACCGTTAAAAGCAATATTGGTCATTAATTCCCGCAGTTGTATAAAATTGCCTCTAAATCTTTTGTGACACACTATTTAGTCATAGATGGAGAATTGCTGTTAAATTGTTTCATGGCAATTACAAATGGCCGCTAAATAACAATATAATCATCGCTAAATGATGTTTTCGGTGTAGTGGGCTCAATCATCAAAATAGCCAATATGGCACTTTCGCTGTGAGTCAAACTTGTCACTACTAAGTGTATAAGTTTACGAACTTAGTTGGGGTTGCCCCCGATTTTCACCTTTGTTTTACATGTGATCGATATTGCCTATGAAGTCAAGACCTCCCATTTGGGAGAGTTACTTGATGCCGCTTGACCACAAGATCTTTGGCTAACTATTGTACTTAAATACATCACTTTTTAAAGTACTAGTTCTTTTACGCGTTTTGCGCGAAGGAATAATACCCAATGATTATTTTTAAATAAATATTTCAAAGTATATCAATGCAATATTATATCGGAGATGTTCATGCATAGGTAAATAAATATTGAATTTGTTTATTTAAATCAGTAATTTAAAGTATATAAATGAAAGATAATATATGAGCGATTGATTATATTGTCACTAAAATAAATGTTTGCAACTTTGTAATAACGCTAGTCTAAATAAATACTGCTTTTGGTTTAAATTTCTCTAATTCTTCTTAATTCTCTTTTGGAAAGCATTGTCATTGTCTTCGTCTTCAGTACATGTCCTCTTTTTTTATTGGTAGTGTGTCTGTGCAATTGGGTTACTGGTGGTAGCATAGTACAATGAGATTATGGTGTAGGAAGCTCTAGATTTGCCTTGTTATATGTATATGATGGGATCTTAGTTGTATTATTAACTCTTTATCTTACAAGCACCTATTGATATTTGGTAGTGGTACTTTTCCCCCTAAATGTTTCATGCCTTGTGAGATGTGTGTTGTAGGTTATCATGTGAAAGTATTGAAAAAAATATTAATATTTATTATATTAGTATAAAATGCTTGGTAAATAAATAAATAAATAAATAAATAAATAAATAAATAAATAAATATATATATATATATATATATATATATATATATTTATATAACATATTTTGTATTATAACTTTGATATTTAATTACAAGATAATGTAAAAAGAAGAATGGAAAATGTAGTGAATATAATAAATTAATAAATTTGAAAATAATGAATCTTTGAATTGTAGAAAATAAAGATAATATAACTAATGAAATTATAACTCTTTTAAATTTTTTTTATAATGAATAATTTTTTTTTTTTAAATAAAGGCATTATAGACATCTAATTCTAAATTAATTAAATGCATATGTATTATTTGTTGTAGCTATTAATTTATTTAATTTTATAAGAGTAATACAGTGGCGTACATACTTTTCATCAACAATAATGAAATCATTGATTTTTTTTTTTAATTTACATTCGTTGTTGAGACAAATTATTTTGAGAGTTTGTCAATAACAATTGTTACAATTCTTGTCAATAGAGGATGATAATAAATAATTCAAAATATATAGTTACAATAGATATTGTTATAATGATATAGTAAAAATTAACTTACAAATTTCTTTAGAAGTTTTCATGCATTGATAAAATTATGATTTGTAAATTTGTTCAATAGGAGCCAGTGGGATGTCAACATTGTCAAATTCTTTGGAAAATGGTCCTACTGTTTTAGAGTACAGGTGTAATTGTATTTATGATCAACAACTTTGTAGTTAGGTCGCGCAGGTCTAACAATGATTTAAGAATAATTTTGTCCGATAAAAAAAATAGTAGTATAATATTTGTAAAGTAATGTACAATTGTACCATTATAAAAATACATACGAAAAATATTGGCCATGTTTGGTTAGTAGCGGATCCGCCAAATTTTGGCGGATTCGCTGATTTTGACGTTTTGAACATGGTCAAAACGCCAAAGTCATTGTTTGGTTAACAACAGTTTGGAGCAGCGGATTACTCCAAACCGCTGAAATTCAACACGCTGCATATAGCAGCATGTTGGGTTGGCGTTTTGGGAAAGGAACTTTCCTTTCCCAAAACACCCTCCACCTTACTTATATAAAATTAAAAAAAAAAATTAAACTGTTTATTACGAAGCCTGAGGCTTCTTTAAATAAAGAAGCCTCAGGCTTCTCTATTCTTGCCCATCCGATGTGGGATGGGCAAGAAATTAACATTAAAATTGAAGGGGCATTGAGCTCCCTTATATAAGGGAGCCAACGCCTCTTTTTTAATTTGACTTTCGATGTGGGACAATCCCACATCTTTTTTATTTTTTATTTTATTATTATTATTATTATTATTATTATTATTATATGTATACCCTTTTGGTCATTTTACATGTTAACCGTTAATTTTACCAAACATTTTTTTACAAGCCGCTGATACAATCTGCTGGTCAAACCAGCTAACATAATCCGCTATTCGTTAACCGCTAATACAATTCGCTACCGCTAACCACTAACCGCTGATTGCCAAACAAGCCCATTAATACCATAACGACCTAAATCATACCAATAATGCAAAAGTATAATTGAAATATTAAGTTTTGTTATGATCTAAATAATCAAAAGAAGATTAATTAAACGAAAAAATAAATTAACCTAAATTTGTTTTTTTTTTAAATGCATACAAATCAAATGATTTTTAAAGTTATTGGTTTATAATTTTTTATGCTTAACTTTGAATGTTATGTATTTAGTTGGACTAATTATTTGACAAAAGTATATGCTAAATTTTATATTATATATATTTATAATGCATTTTAACATATTCGTAGTATATGTTTAACAATTATGCCAACTCTAATTGGGGTGTGGTTCAAACCTAAGAACTTTCTTATAGAAATTAATGAGTAAGTTAAAAATAATAAATAGTTAACGGAATATTCCGTTACTAAAGTTTATACTAACGAAATTTAGGTTATTTAAGGAAAGAAAATAATATAATAGACGTAAATAAAGAAAATCATTAAAAAATACTAAAATCAAAATAATATGAACCATTCATTTTAAGAAACAATACTATCGACAATTTTTTTGTTCCAGTTAAGGGTTTGACATTATTGACTCTTATTAGAATTGTAGATAGATTGTAGATGTAGATTGTAGATGTAAATGTAGATAGATATGGATTAAATTGAACAAAATAAAGGTACAAAAACTTAATGGGAAAATGACACTTTTTCCCCCTAAGTTATATACTTATAGCACTTTTTTCCCCTCAATTATTTATGTAAGCACATTAGCCCCCTCAATTATTTTAAAAGTGGTGGTTTTTTCCCCAAATATATTAAATTGACATTTCTACCCTTAAAGTAAGCATTTTATTTATTTTACTTCTCCAACAAATTATTGCGTATATATAGCGATTATCACGGTTCGGTTCGAATTGAACCAGACACTATGGCAATCAAATTAAAAATTTTCAGTTATGATTCAGATCTAGAACCCAATATTTTGATTTCAATTTATTAAATTTAAGAATTAAAAAAAAAACTGGATCATGAACCGTGAACCGGCAGTTCCGGATCCAGTCGCGATTTTGAACCGTCTTTATTTTAAAATTTTATTTTTTATTTTAAAATAGTCTAAATTCAACAATAAATGTATTTTATTTTTTCAGTTCGGAATATGAACCGGTCATTCCAGTTCGCGATTTTAATAAACTCTAAATATAGCGTTTTGATTATAAATTGTAATTGGAATATTTTGGTTTGGTTGCTATAGTATCTGTTTGGTTTGAACCAAATTATAGTAATAATTTGTTGGAGAATAAAAATAAATGAAATATTTATTTTAAGGGTAAATATGTCCATTTAACATTTCAGGGAAAAAAAGAGCCACTTAAATAATTGAGGGGAAAAAAGTGCTATAAATATATAACTTAGGGAAAAAAAGTGCCATTTTTCCAAACTTAATTGAACAAAATGCTATAATATAGGAACCTCATAATTACTTTATCTTATCAGATCTTGTCATGTACCTAAAAGATTTATGTCATTAAAATACCTTCTGTTTTGCATAAATCACTCGCATAAAGTCTCCTAAGATCTCTCATATATATTCAGTGAGTAGCTAGGACAAAGGACGGATTAGGGTACTTGGTACTTGATTAGCCTCCCGAGTCCCGAGTATATGATCATCCTTAACATCACAATTGTGTAGACCATAAATAAAAAATATATTATTTTTATATATAACTTTATAAAATATATTATTTGAAAGTATATTATTTAAATTTTAAAAATATATTATATTTTATATTATTAAATAATGTATATTTAATACATAAATAATATATTTTTAATATATTAAAAATATATCTTGTATTCAGGGAAACTACATTATATTATTTAGATACATTCCTTATTTATATTGCCGATCGTTCAAATTTGGTGGAAATTTCAACTAAAGAAATTAAGGCAACTGTAGTCACTTTTCCATGTCAACCGACATGGCATTGTTATTTTCCAAGTCAATAGTCAACTCTTAATTAATGTGGATTGACTTTACCAATCTTTTCTACAAACGGATGGAAACTGATGACTACGAGTACTTTCACACCAAATAGCCATAGGGGTGTTCATATTACTATTTACACCAACTTAGTCGAATGTGATATACGAGATCTCATTTTTAATAATTTTTTAAATAAAAATTTCATTAATTAAAACATTTAAAAAAAAAAAAAAAACCTCGCCTTCTCACTGGGGCTGCCTTCTCACCAGAGAAGGCAGCCCCGTGGCTCGCCTTCTCACCGTAGAAGGCGACCCAGGTAGCCTTCTACCTGGGTTGCGTTCTACAGCGAGAATGCAGCCCATCTAGTGGGTCGCCTTCTCACTGGAGAAGCAGTCGTTATATCGTGGACCGTGGTGCATAATCGATTATGCACCGCGCATCAAAATGACGTCGTTTCTTTAAGTAAAGAAACAACGAGCTGTTAGTGTTAACGGAGTGACACTACAGTGTATCTAAACCGACACTGTCTCATGTATTATTTTTATATTATCAAATGAAACTGTAGTTATATCAAAATGATAATGTACTTGTGGTGAAATGAAACTGCAGTATATATAAAATGAAACTGAATAACATTTCACATATTTGAGTATATATTGTACAATGAAGCTGTAATTATATCGAAATGATCATGTAGTTGTGTTTTAATGAAACTATAGTGTATATAAAATAAAATTAAATAACATTTTCACATATTTGAATGTATAAATATTGAAAGAAACTGTAGTTATATCAAAATAAAGTTGTAGTTGTGTTGAACTGAAACTGCAGTGTATACAAAATGAAACTAAAGAAAAGAGTTATTTTTTGCAGAACGGTGCGAAACGGATTCTGTTTCTTTTCATTAAATAAAACGACGTCGTTTTGATGCGCAGTGCATTATCGATTATGCACCGCCACTAGTACAAAATGAGCCATGCGCGTCTTTACTAATTGATAATACGCGTCTTTACTAGTAAAGACGCGTATGGCGCAGACACGGAAAGTTGACAACTTTACGCGTCTTTAGTTGGAAGTCGCGCAAAGGTGGCTATACGCGTCTTTACTAGTTAAGTAAAGACGCGTATTGTCATTCTTATTTAAAAAAAATATATACAATAGGCGTACTAAGACGCCTATTGTCTTTTTTTTTTCTTTATTTTAAAACATATTTATATTATAGTAAATCAATTATTCAATAGAATAGAAAATTCAATTATCCAACACAACATTTATATAATCCAAACTATTAAACACAATATATAATAGAATCTAAGATACATTCTAATACAATAATAGTTTCAGTACACAACATTTATATAATCCAAACTATTAAACACAATATATAATAGAATCTAAGATACATTCTAATACAATAATAGTTTCAGTGCACAAGTACTTCTCATGTGTACCCAAAAAGAAATAAGAATTTTTCTAATCCACTCCCTAATTACATACCAGGTCAGTTTCAATCTGCCTAAACACAGTACTAAGCTTTTGATGTCCCTTGATTTATTAGTTTCATCTGGTGTCAAATCCATATATAACTTCCATCAGATTTATGAGCAAATACCTGTTATAGCATACACGAATTAAACATTAAGAGTGGAAACGTATGATTAATCTCCTGGGAGGTATTTGGATACACGAAATTATTGCTATCAGCCAGAGAAATAAAAATAAATAAATAAAAATTCAATCTCCAAATGAATAAGAGTGGAAATGTACGATTAATCTCTTGGGAAGTAAACTTTGGGAATAAGAAACGAAACACTTACATGAAGACAATCTAAAGGAAGCTCCATGACTTTTATATTTTTTGTCTCAAATGCGTGTTTAAGAGGAATGAGAACAAGCTTTGCCTCAGCTCAACTTAGCGTATGACCTGCCTCTGCTAAATGACTCATTTTGTACTGCTTATATCATACGCGTTCATGTAGTAACAATATGATATATTGTCACTTGGTGAAGCTGCAGAGGCACCCATTTCAGATCCTGCATCTTTTTTCAAGAGAACTATAGAAAAATGAGATCCAAGATAGATGGTTAGAGGTGAATGATAACTCCAGTAAGAATATATACTAGCTCTCAAGTATCTCATGTCCACAAACAATTGAACAAAAGTTTTACACATGTAGAGTCTTTTCAAATAATAAGAGCATAAAAGCAAAAAAAATAAAAATTCATCATGTAGGAACTATCTTAGCCCACCACATTAGTGAGTAGAGCAGCATTGTATTGGAGTCTGTTCGACTAGCACATTCAAGACAACTTACAACATCTTTCCGTATCTCTACCATTTCCTAGGTATTTTTTCAGATAACTTATCCTCATAATACCTATCTTTCCAACCTGGCTCTCCCACCTTGACCTATAAAAGAAAATAAGAAAATAACCACTCATAATGCAGTGAAATATATTAACCACATAGCAGATAACAACTTTGCTTAATATGGAGGAAGTTCACAATGTTCCACAGGACAAATAATAAATAATAAATTAATAATAAAAGGAAAAACAACTTTTAAAAAAAAATCAGCATGTAGTTCAATTATAAAGCAAAATAAATTTACTTCTGTGCTAAACTCAATGACACACCAGATATTAAAACATGTGATATCAATGCACATTAATGAATTATACAAGAGTGGAACTTAAATATGAACTCAGGGACAGAAAAAAACAAAGCATCATAATGTTTGGTCTTCATGAAACACAAAATCAGTATAAATAAATAAATAAAGGTTTACAATTACACCGCACATAGCCCACTTTATACAATTCACAACCTGGCAAACCAATTGGCTCCAAACCAATTTTTGATTCCCCCCTCATTACAGAAGTGAAAATGTCAAAAAGATTGCATGCAGAACTATAGCATCTTAACATGAAAGAAGTATCATGCTTATCACTGAATTTTGATATTGCAAAAACAAATTCATAAGTGATATAAAAGCAGAACAACAGTTCATCAGCATTACTTCATACAAAATTATCACAAGGAGTTGCAACTAACCTCCTCTGGGTAGGCAATTGCATAATCATAGTGTACTCTTGTGGCTTTCAGTATTTGCAAGTAAAGAATCAACCTGTTTAATTAATACAACCCACAAAGGAAAAGTTTCTCACCCCTAACTTACCAGTCAGAGGCATTGGCATTTTGAGAGACTCTGAAAACAAGAAAAATTGATAAGTTAATCAAATAGAATTGATTCACTGCAATGCAAAGTAGAGGAAAGGATCGTAATAGAAAATCACCTAAGAGATCGTAATAGTTGTCTTCGTCGCAGTAAATGGAGATTGAAGGCTGGATCAGAAGGGAGAGATGCCGATTTGAAGTCGTCACTGCCTCCACCTCCGCCGCTGGATGTAGAACACGCGATGTGTTGGTCGGATATGAAGCGGCCATTGCCTTTCATGGTAGATCTAGATCTGAATATGAAGATGCCGACGAATGATGTCGCCGTGAAGAACGGCCATGGCCGACTCTTTGACGCACTCCGTCTTGGGGACGACTTATGCGCCGAGGACGAGCGAGACGAAGACAGAGAGAAGTTTAGTGCACTGGGCGGTGGAGGCGAGGCAGGTGGAAGAGATTGAGGTGCAGAAGGGAGAAGTGAAGTGCGGCGGAAAGAGGGAGAGATTGAGAAACAGGAAACTTAGGGTTTGGTGGAGCAAATGATATTTTTATGGTTTTTTGTTCTAAAACGTATAAAATAAAAAAAATATGCGTAAAACACGTGTCTTTACCTTGATGATAAAGACGAGTATTGTCTCCGTATAAAATTAAAATATCTTTTGCGTCTTTAATATATTAGTAAAGACGCGTAAAGTCTTTTAAATATTTACATAAATGCCACCGCGTTTTTTTTTCACTTACTTTAGGAGTCTTTAGTTAAAACTAAAGCAGTGTATTGTTGCATTTTTTTGGTCCATTCTCTACTAGTGCGCGGTGCACGATATAATTTGTCCCGGAGAAGGCAACCCAGGTAAAACGCAATAGATGTATAAATTAAATGTTCAAATTCTAGAACTTCAAAATGGTTCTCCCTTTTTCTTTTTAAATTGTGGGCCCAACTCCTCCACATTTTAGTCTTTATATTACTTTTTCCTTCTCATTCCCAATAATTATATTCCTCCCTACCAAATAATGCGATTTAAATTCGTACCATATTCCTATCTTATTCTTTTTTCCCACCAAATTTCAATTCATTTTCTTCCTAATTCCTTCATTCCAACCAAACAACTCATAAATATTTCTCTGGAGAGAAACTTCTCCCGAGTTTCTCGTCTTTAATGGTCCCTCTTTCTTCTTTGCTTTCTCCTTGATTGGAAATGCCCTAATGATGGTCCTTGTAGTTTGTTGTAAAATGAAGGAAAATTATATCATTGATCGGGTTCACATTGTATTGTGAACTTTAGTTTAAAACCATATTCAAATTATATATTTACAGTTAATATATTATGTACATTTAATTTATAGATTATGTGTTTGTAAATAAACTATTGACATAATTTATTAACTAAAGGTACATAATATGCTATTAATTTCATATATATAATATATTAGTAATATGAACATAAAAATTAACTAGGAATACATAATATGTTTACTATAAGTAAATATATAATTTGAATGTCATTTTGAACCACAGTTTACAATATAAAGTGGACCATGCTTCATGGAATAACAATTGGTAAATGAAATTATGAAATGACCTCATTACAGCAAGTCATTTCACAAGGGCCACTTTGGTCTTGTCAAAATTGCCAACCAAATTCTACGCAATTAAGGAGTAACATTCAAACTTGGGGCTTAGTAATAATTGACCCTAAGTCCCTAAATACAATCGTTATGCTATGGACCCGTGTTCAGCATGCATGCTGGACATGGATAACATTACCGTTAGTGGTATTTTTATCTTTTAATTTTTATTTATTTTTTTTTAAATTTTAGACCGCTTCGTTATAAGAGTATATGTTCATAATTTTATTACTATATGTTCATAATTGTAAGTTCATAATGTCAGAGCTCTATGTTCATAATTCTATAACTATACATTCATAATTCCATAACTGTACATTCATAATTCCGTAACTGTACATTCATAATTTAATAACTGTAATTTCATAATTTTCGAAGCTCTATGTTCACAATTTTAGAGCTCTATGTTCACAATTTTAGAGCTCTATGTTCATAATTTTATCACTATATGTTCATATTGTAAGTTTATAATGTTAGAGCTATGTCTTCATAATTTCATAACTGTACATTCATAATTGCATAACTGTACATTCATATTTGCATAACTGTACATTCATTATTCCATTACTGTACATTCATAATTCAATAACTGTAAAATCATAATTTTCGAAGCTCCATGTTCACAATTTTAGAGCTCTATGTTCATAATTTTATCACTATATGTTCATAATTGTAAGTTCATAATGTTAGAGCTCTGTGTTCATAATTTTATAACTTACATTCATAATTCCATAACTGTACATTCATAATCCCATAACTGTACATTCATAATGCCACAAACGAATAACGCCGTTAACGGCGAGACAAAATCAATTTTTTTTTAACTGAAATGACGCATTTTCCCTGAAAACGACGTCGTTTTGGACTCGTGTCCATAATGCATTGTGGGCACGGGCCCAAGGCATAATTTGCGCCCTAAATAATACTCGGCATAAGAAAATTCTAAATAACAAAAATAAAATCCGATTTTTAAGAAAAATAATGTATTTAAAATAACATTGATAGGAACATGGGAGCCGGGGTCATTCTTATGAGAAAATCTACTTTGAGCAAAATAAACAAAAGAGATGCTGCCAAAGGGTTTCAAACCTTTTTTTTTTTTAGGAAACCAATGTGGTTGCATAAGGGTTTCAAACCTTAATGCTCCATCATAACAACATATACATTAACCACCCAAGCTATTCAAGATATTATGTATAAGGAGGTAGCACTAACCACCTTTAAGTCATTCAAGATATCATGTATAAGGAGGTAGGATACTCTATTTACTTGTGTGAAGATCGATGGCATCCAAGTAGTGAGGATACGTGTATTGACAAGATTAAAGACTAGTCGATGTCGTACATTAAATTTTTCAACCATCTGGAAGGTCCTCTACATTATAAATAGGCATCATTATTCCCTCTTAAGACATCATCCCTTGATTCATTCAATATCCTCTAGTACTATACACTGGCTTGAAGTCTTAACATATATATAACTCATATACCAGGTTCGATTCCTAATGATAACAATAATATTCTACTCCATTATTTGGGCTATTGTTTATACTATCTATATACTATATTTATTTATATTTATTCTTTGGGCGGACTGGAAGACATAATATTGTGCTCTGCAAGAAGGGAAAACATGTACCAGAAGACAAAAAAATTTAACTTATTTAACAAAATCACCATAATGACATCGCATTTTTTTTTTTTTAAATATCACCAATTTGGATCCTTGATTTGGACTCAATCAACGGATATAATTAAACCCTACTTTTACTTAAGGCAATTGTTTCACCTGATCCGTTACCTATATGAATATAAATATAAATAAATAAATAAACATATATATATATATATATATATATATATAGAGAGAGAGAGAGAGAGAGAGAGAGAGAGAGAGAAAAGTTCAGGTGCGGCGGGCCAGGGTCCTCCCGTGCGGCGGTGCTGCGTCACCAAAAGTTGAGCGATTATACACCATCAACGTTATGAAATGCACCACAAAAACACACACAAATTAGGTACGTATCACAAAAAAACACACCATTAGATGTGAGTAAACGCACCATACAGTGTTTGCAAATACACCATTAGGAGTGGTGAGTTATATGGTGTATTTTTTGGATGTATTGTGTATTTTTTGGTGTTTTATTTTTATTTTTATTTTTATTTTTTTGCATTTCATTGTGGTATGTTTTCTTACAGTGTTGGTGCATGTTGTTAATACAGTTAGTGTATTTCTGGAACCCCCGCCGCATCGTAAGCCCACGCCACATATAAGCGCTAATATATATATATATATATATATATATATATATATATATATGTATATGTATATGTATGTATGTATATTGTTTTATTGGATTATTAGTGAATTGGTTGACCTATCATGAATTAATCTACGTAAGCAATAAAAAATAAAATTCTATATATCAGGATGTGACTAATATAAAATAGTAATTATAGGGGTCAATAGCATAATTCTACAATCTAACCGTAGAAACAAAACTTTGTCTAATATAACTTGAAGTTGATAAGTATCTAGCCTTAAAAACAAATTAAAACTTTGTCTAACTTGAAGTTGACCAAGTCAACAGGTTGGAAATTAAGCAGTGTATGGGACAAATTTCAATCCCTAGTTAAGAAGAAGCGTACCATTGCATTATAAATAGCATAGCCTCCTACGATTCTACCAAATTAAAATTAAAATACTACTAATAATGACTTTTCCATCTCTTGATTTGGTTTTCACTAAGCTTATTATCTTTCTGTATTTTCAAATTAAAGCTTTTCCATCTCTTGATTTGGTTTTCACTAAGCTTATTATCTTTCTGTATTTACAAATTAAAGCTTTTTCATTCTAATATTTCCCCTTATCTCATCTGCTTCTTCCCAGCTACAAGGCAATGAAACAGATAAAATTTCACTTGTTGAATTCAAGAAAATGATCATAGGTGATCCTTTCAGTATCATGAGCACATGGAATGAAACCATTCATTTCTGTAAACCTCACCTCTCAAAATCTGGTGGGTTCAATATCTTCACACATTGGGAACTTGAGCTTTCTCAGGGTTTTGTCATTTGCAGAGAGTACAAATTTTGTATTTGAACAATGATTCTCTCAGTGGGTTTATACACTCAAACATTTCTGCTTGCCTACATTGGTGAAAATAACTTTGGAGGTTTCTTGCCTACATCAATCACTAAACCTTTCAAGAAGCCTAGCATATCTTTACCTTTATGAAAATCAGATTTCTGGAAACATCATATCCCAAGGGGGATTTCTAATCTCCTCTGCTTGGAAGTTATGGAATTTGCAAATAACAAACTCAGTGGGGAAATCCCACCGGAGATTGGGTTTCTTAGGAATCTAAGAGAGTTGAGGTTAGGTGGAAATAATTTGTCTGGAAAAATTCCATCTTCTATTGGAAGTCTAAACCTTTTAATCAAGCTTGTTCTAAGAGAAAACTACCTCCATGATAGTATACCTGCAAGTCTTGGGAATTTCATAGGTTCCATACCAAAGGAGGTTGGGTATTTGAAAAATCTGGGCAACTTGGATTTGTCTTATAATTCATTGTCAGGTCATATTCCAACAGAGCTTGGTAGTTGTGAGCACTTAGAAATGTTGAATCTAACAAATAACAACCTTTAAGGCCCAATTCCATTAACTATGGCAAATTTAAAGGGCTTGATGTTTTTAGAACTTTCTCACAACTTAACAGGTCATGTTCCAGCTTTCTTGAAGGACTTCAAATTTTTAATGAATTTGAATCTTTTGTACAATGATTTGGAAGGTGCAGTCCCAAGCATGGGAATCTTCAACAACACAAGATCGGTTTCTATCGTAGGAAATAGAAAGCTCTGTGGGGGAATACCTGAGTTGAACCTTCATGAATGTAACACTACAAAGCCCAAAAAGAAGA